TTTGGGCCGTCCTCGAGTGCTTTCCCAGGCCACAGGCAGGGAGCTGGATGGGAAGCAGAGTAGCTGGGACACAAACTAGCATCCATATAGGATCCTGGTCTGTGCAAGGTTAGGATTTAACCATTGAATCATCACTCCAGGCCCTAAATAAATAAATCTTAGAAAAAGAAAGAAGAGTTGGTCTCTGCCTCTTTAGAATGCATACCAAGCCCTCCCAGATACTTATCATGTCCTGTTCATTTTGTCTGACGCATGTGCCGTGAGCAATCCCATGGCCCAAGGGGATGCTCCAGAAGGTGACCAGAGCATCCAGCTAGCCTCAAGGGTATTCCAGCAGAAGGTGGGACTGCTCATCCAGCTAGGGGCTGCAGTGTAAGTGCCGACTCTTGCTCGTTCAAGTGCCTGTGGCCCATACTGGCAAGGCAGGAGAGTCTCATGTACCTGAGACCGTGTGAGTCTCCCCTGGCAGGGGCCTCATGAGGTCTCATAGCTGCAAGCTTTCAGTCACCCACGTCACTCCAGCATTTTTTGCAGGGACTGGAATTGAAAACAAGTGTGGCGACCCACTGCCTGCCCCTGCAACCATGTCATCTTGGACCATCCAGCTGCTTCCTTCTTCCCAGGATGCAGCATTGTTTTGGCCACTAAGGGGTGAAAGGTCAGAGGCCCGTTAGTCTTCCCTGCTATGACAGCTGTATCACAAGGGCTAATGTGGGGATTTGCCACCATTCAGGAGGTCCATGCACATGATTTATTAGTGGGCCAGACCCATGGACGCACTGAAGAGTTGGTCACTGCCTGGCTTCCTTAGGCTAATTCTCTGTAATGGAATGTAGAAGTGACGTGATGATTTGGATCCCTGGGCATCCTCAGACACGGTGGGCAGCAGCAATGGGAATGTGTGTCACCCTTTGCCCGGTGTGAGCACACCTAAGCTAATGGCTATAGGTCCGCTTTGGGGCAGCTTAATACACCTGCTGTGTGGTGCCAGTCCCTTCCTTCTGGCACCCAGCTTCTCCTCCACTGGCTGGGAAAGACATCACAACTGTTGATGGGTGCACTTTGATGCCTTCTGCTTTGTAGAGCTGGGCAATCAGAACTGCCCGCTTTCGCCCCTCTGGAAACTAGGTTTGGTTAGCTAGCTCCGTCATTCTGTATCCCAGGCTCCCTTTGCTGTCTTGTTTTGCACAAGTAAGTGTTCTCATCTCTGTCACCCTGGGATCCTGTCAGCAAGGAGCCCTGCTCTGTAATTCCATCTCCCCCTGTAAGCCCTGGCTCAGTGAGCACAGCCTGAGTGGGGAGCATCTGAGCCAGGAAGGTGCTTGTGTCACTGGCATCCTCCAGGCCACCCTGTGATCAGCGCCTGTGGGCTGCTGTAAGGCTACTCAGGGCCTCCTCACTCCCATGCCTTGTGGGATCATTCCTCCGTCAGGGACCTGACCTTGGCGTTCAGAGTGGTCCTCCATAGCTCAGCTGCTAACTTGTAGGCCTGACAGACCGAACAATCCATCTGCTCTGGCTGTCTTCAGAGGTCGCTGAGGGTTTTCACACTTAAGAGAGCCTTTTCATTCCCTTATCCTCCAACTATGCCCACAGAATTCCCTCCCACCAGTCAGCAGTTAAACTGCAGCCCTCCTCGAGGCTAAGGGCTATCCACACTCCATGTGTCGCTGGTGGTGGGCTTCTCACTGCCAGCTGGCCGGCGGGCAAGCTGCTTGCACAATCCCATCGTCCAGGCAGCCTTCTTAGACCGCAGCCAGCACCAACAGTCACAGACTTGGAGTTGGATCTTTGCATACGGGGAGCTTCCCGAGCCGTGCGTGGAAGGCCAGTACCTGTGGGCAAGTGAAGGAAAGACGCAACCACTGGTGTGGCTGCGATGGACGCTCAGGGAATTCCTGAGAGTCCGGATGGTCTTCAAAGTTGTCCCAAATTACAGTAGGAGGACCAGGGCTTCTGGAATTCTGTGGTCAGGAAACAGCTCTCCATCAGCTGTGGACAGTCATGGGGAATGAAGGGGCCAGGCCAGGACAAAGTCAGCTTAGAGCCATTTACACCCCTGGGATAAGTGTGTCAGCCTCAAGGTACACTGGATGGGGTCCCACATTGTTTACTAAATGATGGTATGTGTCCTTGGAGGGGGAAGTGCCTGCAGGATGGAGAGAACTAGAGAACCCGGTTCATGGGAATGCCTGCTATGGCAGCAGCAGCATGCCCGGACTCCCATCTTTGTAAAAATACTAGACTGTACACATGAGGGGCAGAGAAGCAGAGACAGAGAACTCTCACCTGCCTGCAGTAACAGAAACTAAAGCCAGCTCAGCCCAGGTCTCGTACGGGAGTGCCAGGAACCCAGCAACCTGAGCCAGCACTGCTGCCTCCGGAGGTGTGCAGCAGCAGGAAGCTGGCATCTGGAGGACACTGGAGGCTGAACCTAAGCACTCCAACAGGATGCCAGGGTCTCAATACCAACTCCCACCCCTAAACCTACCTTCTCATGCTCCATCAATGTTTTTGAAGTACCTTCATATTCCAAAACGGGCATTTCAGGCTGCTGTTACACTTCCTGTTGGAAAACTTGAAGAGGCTAATAAAATCTAAACAATCCACACTTGAAAAATGTTTTTAAAATTTGGGACCTATTATCCCATTTTGCTGAGAATTTAATTCTCAAAAAAGTCTTAATTAAAAATAAGACAAAAACAACCAAGCAGGTATAAAGAGACAGATGATTTGGGGAAGGAAAAACTGCGATCTATGGCTTTCTGTTTTAAGTAGGATAACCTCTTAAAGAATGAGTATATTCTCAAGTTTTCTTACATACCTACAACAAATCAGTGTTTTTATCACTACTGTGCCCAAGTGCTGAGGGCACCTGAATATGTGTTTTCATAAGAATTCTAAGAGATAGAATGAGCTGTATCAATCTTAGAGACATGTTTTTCGATTCAGCAATGGAAATGGGGATAATTATAGAAACGGATTCTAAAGAATAAATCATACAGAAACACAGGGTGGTTCATCACTTCTGTTGATCAAAATGATGAACCAAAGATTTTCTCCACATCTGAAACAAAGCGTTTCTAATGTCATTTTTAGATCTTTATTGTTTTTTTTTAAATAGCTATTTTTAAAATGTTTGTGGAGAGTCAGATTTACAGAGAAAAGGAGAGGAAGATCTTCTGTCCGCTGGTTCACTTCCCAAGTCATCCCAAAGGCCAGAACTGAGCCAATCCGAAGCTGGGAGCCAGGAGCCTCTTCCGGGTCTCCCAGGCAGGTGCAGTTTCCCAAGGCTTTGAGCCATCTTCCACTGCTTCCCCAGGCCACAAACAGGGAGCTGGATGGGAAGTGGAGCTGCCAGAACACAAATAAGCACCTATATAGGTTCCCAGTGCATGCAAGGCGAGGACTTAGCCAGTAGTCTACCGCACATGCCCATCTTCAGATCTTTAACATGAGACAGGACCGACTGTAGTTCTGAAAGCCTGAAATGGTTTCCTGCCTTACGCTAACAGATGCCACCAAGCAAAGAAACTGGTCCCTTACTACAAAAACAAGAAGCAGGGGCTGGCCTCGCATAAGCTGTCACCTGTGGCACTGGATTCCACCTTCTGATCCCGCTCCTGGCTCTAGCCTGGCCCAGCCCTGGCTGTTGTGGCCATCTGGGGAGTTAACCAACAGATAGAAGTTCTCTTTCTGTAACTCTGCCTTTCAATGTTACCAAAAGAAGAAAGCTGGAGACAGCCTTGGGTGCACAGGTCATCGAGTCAGTGGGATCTGACTACTCCCGAGGACGCGTGCACGAACGTCAGAGCCCAGGGAGCAGAACCTGACTCATTTACATCAACACTCTCGGCTGCACAGTCTGGGGCTGGCCAGCCCAACACACCGAGTCCCTGCAAAGAAGAAGCTAACGAGAAGCTAGGTTCAAATTAGCTCCAATTCTACTCACACATGAACAATGCAAAATGGTTTTAGTTTCTATCCTTTTCATTCAAAAGAAAATTAAAACCACACTCTTACGCTAGGGTGGACTTCTAATATTTCTAAGCTTGCCATAATTTCTGGTTAGTTTTTCAGGGCTAAATGATAGCAGATGTTGACGTGATTAATGTCACCAAGGCATTAAATTTCCAAAGACTACAATTAGATTACTTCAGTTACTGTATGTCATTATTCACAGTGACTCCGAGTACAAGCATTACAGAGGTCCTGCAATTGTCCCCAGCCCTGGGACCATAAAATAGGACAATTTAGTGACCATTACATGAAAAGCTAATTATGAGAAATGCTGTGTCTAGAATGTTTCGTTTCTCCCTCTCTCCATTTGGGATTTTTTAAAAAAGCAGACCTCACACTTTCTTCATTTATGCAGCATTTAAATAACATTATTTCACTTTTCTATTTTCTCTGGAATAAATCAAATTAAAAACACTTCATACGCTTACTTGAATTGATCTCAGATGTTTCTTTTGACAGCAAAACTACTTTTGTTTTGAATCTGAAAAAAAAAAACAACCCACCCCGATTCTATACCACTTACTGGGAGGGTGGCCTGAGGACCTTCTATCATTGTACATATCAACAAAATCAAGTCATCCAGCATTCAAATAATGAAGCTAACACACTGAGAATGCTCATGATGTAGTCATCAGACTATATCACATAAAGGAGCCTTACAAAAGCAACATGTTGTGTTCAATTTAAACGCAGACCGAAAGAGGTCAGGAAAAAAGCAGCACCCCCTTACCAAGCCCCAAAGTTCCCATCCCCACACAGGATACAGCCGGCCAACCGGGAGGCCTTCCGCCCCAATATCAAATCCTCCACAATCCACAACTCTCTCCCCGTATTCTTACATGTTCTGTGGAATCTTAAATTCCACTAAATGATAGATAACTTTACACCAGAATTTACTTAAAAAAAAAAAAAAAAAAAAGACACACCTATGAAACCATCACCACACAAAATGTCTGGAAACAGATATTAACTACAGAAAGTGAATGTACATATACTGTGTTTATTATTACTCTATATGACTGCTAGTTGAATGAAAACAAATAATAGCTAAAAAGTCTTCAAATGATATAAAAACATATTTGGGTAAGTTATAACACAGTTTTGTGTATCCAGTCAACAGCAATGTATCCTAATTTTGCACCAATTGCAAACTCCAAGGTTAACAACACAGCCAGGGAGCTCCAAGGGTGAGCTCGCCTCAAACGTGTTCACTATTTTAAAATTTCAGACAAAGGAGCTGAGAACAGAAAGAAACAACATATACACCAGGATAACAGTCTTTGCTTTAATGACTTCCACCTGTGACTCAGAGCAGGCAGGCCCTCACTGCAGGTTATGTATCATTTCCTCTTTGGCTATCAGGTGTGTAGTCTTGTTAACCAGAGACATCAGTGAGTTCAGTTTCTGAGACCAGTCATTTAATAAATTATTGGGATCCTTGGGTCTCTGGAAGTTGATAATTCCGGCCAATCGGTCTACTTTGGCAAAGATGGTCTTGTTGACTACCAGATTTGAGAGGAAGGCTTCTGATTCCTGCAAGACACACACACAGGATTTAAGTAGGATGATTACAGCAGACAAGCAGAGCTGAGGGAAAACAAGAATACATATGACTACAAGTTCTCACTCACTGTCAGCAACCACTGACTTTCCGGTAACAATACTGTCCCTCTCCCAACAGCCCAGGGCATGAACAGGACCGGCGCCTCCTCAGGCAGGGCTGCCCCAAACCGCCTTCTGTAAGGCTACAAGGGCTGGCAGTGTGGGACAGCACACAGCAATCAGCAATGAAGCTGCTCTACCCCTTTTTGAAAACACTATGGCACATTCCTTGATACCCAGATATGCTGGCTGGAACAGAAGCTCTGCCATCTGGGAACTACACAGCCACAGTCAACACTGCTTATTCCAAAGGACTGTGGGACTTTTACCCACAGAGAACAACTTACATCCTCACCAAGGATGGAGCCTTCCAGCTCCACCTCACCACAGACCTCCCTTCTAAGCCAAACTCCCGTTTCCCTCTGGTGCCACGTACCAGCAGACCGATCCCCCTGTCTGTTGTACATTTTCTCAACATGAAATGCACACTGGACACAGCATTCCTCTAGCAAGTGCTGGCCCTGTCCCAGGTGGACCACTGTCACATTGTCCTCACATAGAATATTCATGCAGCTCCTTTTGGTGGAGACTGAAATACATTTTTACACACACACTGCACTCCAAGTTAATCCATAACCAACTAACCTATTTAAGAGCAGGTCTCAACTAGGGTCAATAATATTATGTAATCACCAACTCAGTATTTAGGCCATTTTTGGTACTCAAGATAGTTTGGGAACTTTCTATCCTTGAAACCTAAGATTTTTTTAGAGCAAACAAAATGGATTTTCTGATTTTTTTTTCCTGCGGAACCCAGGATACGACGACGCCTGCTACTTACATCAACAGATAAATCCAGAAGCTGTGCCATTCTTTTCATTGTTATCCGGGTATAGTACTTGGCCATTATTCGAATATTCTGGGAAGAGCACAGAGGGCAACACAAGAGGTTAAGACTGAAAGTCACTTCACATCCAAGGCCACTTACAACATCAGAGCTAGGGGCATCGTTCACTTTCCTACCGCCCACCACTGGAATGCATGAAGCTGTTCTGAACTTCAATAACAAAACTGAAGGCTGGGAGGTTTCTGTTTGTGTGGCCAATCAGTATAAATACCTAATACTTTCTTTTTGAAAGGCAGAGTTACAAAGACAGAGGAGGGGAGAGGGGAGTTGGATCAAGAGAAAAAGAGAAGAAAGAAATCTTTCATCTGCTGGTTCCCTCTCCAAATGGCTACAATGGCCAGAGTTGGGCCAGGCTGGAGAGAGGAGCCTGAGGTCCATGCAGGTCTCCCTGTGGGTGCAGGGGCCAAGGACTTGGGCCACATCCCTCTGCTTTCCCAGACAAAGCGTATTAGCAGAGACCTGGATGAGAAGCAGGGCACTTAGGGTTCCAACCAGCATCCACATGGAAAGAAGCATGACAGGCAGCTGTCTTACTCGCTGTACCACAATGCCAGCCACAACGCTTCACACACACAGGCAAGGGCACAGGAGCTGAGTGGTGACGTTACCCACACCAGGGCCTGCGGGCTTCAGGCTCGCTACACTTTGGATTCCACCCCGCCGATGTGCACCCTCAGGGGTAGCAGGTGACCACCTGAGCACCTAGGTCTCCAGCCCTCATTCAGAAACCAGACTTCCTGTCTCATGGCTTTGGCCTCACCCAGTCCTGGCTCTTGGAGAGTGAACCAAGAGATGCAAGAGCTCTCTGACTTGGTTCCTCTCACTGCCTTTCAAAAATAGTAAAAACAGGCCCGGTGGCATGGCCTAGCGGCTAAAGTCCTCGCCTTGAATGCACCAGGATCCCATATGGGCGCCGGTTCTAATCCCAGCAGCTCCACTTCCCATCTAGCTCCCTGCTTGTGGCCTGGGAAAGCAGTCAAGGACAGATTGGGACGCTGCACCCATGTGAGAGACCCAGAAGAGGATCTGGGCTCCTGGCTTCTGATAGGCACAGCACTGGCCATTGCAGTCACTTAGGGGGTGAATCATAGGACAGAAGATCTTCCTCTCTTCTTCTCTGTATATCTGACTTTCCAACAAAAATAAATAAATCTTAAAAAAAAAAAGTTAAAATGTACACTTTATTTAAAACTTGTAACTGTACTGAAGTAGTTTTTGCTAAATCTAAGAATCCGAAGTTAAGCCTTTCTAACTATAAGTGTTTGAAAGGTTAAAATTTAAATAAAAAATAATTGAAGATCATCCCAACTACCTAAAGGCAATTTAAAATTACATTTCTTAATTTTTCTTGGAAAAGATTCTGTCCCCTTAGTCATTCTTCATATCATTAACAAAATACCAGCACCTACGGGGAACGACAGAACAGTAGGGAGAAAAATGGATTTGTCTTTGAAGAAGCTGCACTTGCCCCCACAAATGAAGGCCATGGCCACACTGACCGTCTGGAAAGCAGCCAAGCACTCCACACTTCACCTTTTCCTTCAACTCCTATATCAAAATCAGTGACTACAGACTAGGGTTTCTTTGTATAATTTGTTTCATACTCTGATTTTTCGGTACCCTCCGCCTCTGCCTTGCTATGAATCCATAGGGTTCCTCACGGAACCAGCTTTCTTTACGGACTCCAAATTCATCCTCTACATCCCAGAGAGACTATGAAACACCAGAATGGTGCATTGGCATTGTGGCGTAGTGAGCAAAGCCACTGCCTGCAGTGTCGGCATCCCACATGGACACCGATTCATGTCCCAGCTGTTCCACTTCTGATTCAACTTGCTGCTAATATACTTGGGAAAAGCAGCAGAGGATAGTTCAAGTCCTCAGCATGGCCCAGCCCCGACCACTGCAGCCCTGTGTGGACTAAATTAACAGACAGAAATCACTGTCCTTTCTGTAATTCTGACATTCAAACTGATAAATCTTTAAAAGCATTTTTTTTTTTCCTGCTCATGGGCAAAACAAGATTTCTTCTGATTTGGACCCTTCCAACATTTTTTGGAGCTCTTTTTTCTCCCTAAGCTCTCCAAGTTCCTCTAGTTGGGCTCCTCTACGCTTATGCTCAGACATGCTGACCAGGACTGTGACGGTCCTGCCTTGTCTGCAGAGCAAGCACACACTCACCTCACTCATTAATTCCTACCCTGCTACCCGACTATTCTCCCAGGCAGAATCAACCAACCTTCTTGCTTTTCCTCACTCTACTCTATATACTTGTATCATCTTTATTATTTTATTTATAAGCACTCTTTTCTGTAATTTTAAGTTCACTTAAAAAAACTGTGAGAGGCAGAGATATAGCACTCCTATATAGCTCAGTTGCCCCTCAAGTGCTTGAAGTTTGGGGCTGAGAACTCAACTGGATCTTCCAAGGGCATGGAGAGGAAATACTCTGTCACTTACACTTAAAATTCCTAAGGCATCACCACCACTTCCCAACGTATCAACAGTGAGCTCTGGAGTCAGAGGCCCAAACCTGTCCCTCCGTTTCAAGCTCCCTGAAGAGACCACGCCTTAGTATCCCATGTGCCACCACTTCGTACAGTACCTGACACACAGGTGCCTTATAATAATGTTTGTTAGAGAAATAAATGAATGTCAACACAATGCAATCTGTAGAGCTACCAAGAAGATCAAGTTAGCTTAAGACCTGTTCCTTACTTCCTAGATTAGTAGGCGAGTATCAGCAAGAACACGTTCCCTTAGCCAGCGCTCAGAAAATTCAGATATATGTACTATAAAATTCTGGATTCTCTAGAGGTCCTCTTAGAAAATGACCTGTGCTGAAATAGCTACCTTTTTCAGAAAATCGAAAAGTAGAGAAAAAGAGCTAAATAGGAGGAGATAAACTCTGCTGAGAAATTTACATAATTATGATGTTAGGTTTATAAAAAAAAATCCTACAGTGAAGAATTAAAGACATTAAAACATAAAAGTGACACCTGAATACCCAACTTGAAAAATAAAGCTTGCACTCAAATATGTCAGAGCTGAATCCTATCAACTCTGAAAAGAAGTGCACCAGTCAGAGGTTAAAGATCCCCTCATCCCAGATCCTCACATGCTCAACCACTCTGTTCTTCAGGTCGTTCCACCTCTTCTCTCCTTCCTCGGTGGAGGCAAAGACGTCGGTGGCAGGGCTCTCGGGCGAGCCTTTCCTCAGCTCCACGCCGTAGTCCTCCACCAGCGTGGACCAGCGCATCAGCTCCATCGTTGTGAACAGCTTGAGGAGGTCCCTGTTCAAATCGACCAAAAAAGACTGCCCTCACTTTGTTTTTGAGTGGAATAAAACACAATTAGGCTATTTCTTATTCTCCCACCTTTACTACCATTTTCCCACAGCAGTTCTGAAGGGAGTATCTCCCAGCTCAACGCTTCTGCTCTCCCGTTGCATTTGTCAGCCTGTGAAATAACCTCCTGGGAGCACCCCAGCGAAACAGATAAAACTCCAAGTCCATCATGCTTAGGGAAAAGCATGACTGTTGTACCACAGACTTTCACAAGGACGAATCTTCAAAGCCACCAAGAGCCCACTAATGATGAAAACTTATAAAACAATAATAAACCAAAACAAAGAACACTCAATGTGGACTCGATACAAAGCTTCTACTTGAAAAACTGTTGAACATGTTATCACTTTATTTCTGTTTTATTCTCTAATGCAGTGATCAATTAGGAAACATACTTAAATGAATCAATTTTTCTTTACAATTATATTTTCTACTGTAAAAATGCTTACTTGTATTTGGGAATTTCTTCTAGCTTCTTATCACCACTTATTCGGTGAACCAAATCTGACTGTTCATTGTCAAACGGGGCCAGAATCACATACAGAACAACACTTTTCAGAGCCTAAAAAGTTATACAACACAAAAGGTTATTCGCAAGATGAGATGCAACCTCAGCAAGTGAAAAACTGTGCCATAATTTTAATATTTATTTTGTATTCAAAAAAGTCTTCGGTGTAAAAACATTACCAGGCTGCCCATGGTATCATTTTATGTAATATTAAGTTTTTAAGACCATTACAACAAATCTCTGCAAATTTCAATTACTGTCTTTATATTTTTGACAAAATATAAAGTTCTCATATTAAGTTAGCAACACAAATGTGGAACACAAATGCAAGCTTTTAAAACAGCTTTTATAAAATAACTTTCCAAAGCAGTGCGGGGTCCTTATCTGTAAATTTTGTTACAGCTGACCCGCTGCATACATTTTTAATTCATTATTATTTGAAATGAAGATAGAGCACTTACACCTGTGCTTCACCCTCTACATGCCTGCCCAGCTAGGACCAGACTGGGCAGAAGCGGCAGCCAGGCTCCCACATCGGTGGCAGGAACCCAACCACTTGCAGCACTGTGGCTGTCTCACAGCGGTCTGCATCAGCAGAGAGCTGGAGGTGGGGCCAGGTACGGAACGCAGGCACTGTGTGTAAAACATGGGCATCTAACCACCAGGCTGACAGCTATAGCAAACAATACGCCTGCATGCTATCTGAAGTGATAATCCACAGGAACCAGCATTACAGCGTAGCAGGCTGAGCTATCATCTACAATGCTGGCATCACATGAGTACCAGTTTGAGTTCTTGCTGCTTCTTTTTAACATTCATTCATTATAACTGGATATGCAGATTTACAGAGAGAAGGAGACAAAGACCTTCCGTCTGCTGGTTCACTCCCCATGTGGCCACAATGGCCAAAGCTGAACAGAACTGAAGCCAGGAGCTTCTTCTGGGTCTCTGATGCAGGTACAGGGTCCCAGGGCTTTGGGCCATCCTTAACTGCTTTCCCAGGTAGGTGCCCATATGGGATCCAGAGTGTGCAAGGTGAAGATTTAGACACCGAGCCATTGCGCTAGGCCCCTGCTTCACTTCTGATTTAGCTCCCTAACAGCACACCTGGGAAAGAATAGGATGACCTAAGTGTGGGGGCTCCTGCCACATACACAGAAAGAACAAGAAAGAAAAAAGGCAGTGACACACAGGGGCAGGTTTCACACGGTGGCTAAGATGCTGCCAGGAAGAGCAGCAGCCTGTCTCACTGTGCCTGGATTCAACTCTCAGCTCTTCTGTTTCGTAAGCAGCTTCCTGTTGATGTGCACTGTGGGAGGCAGCAGATGAAGGAGATCCAGATGAATTCAGCACTTTGACTTTAGCTGCCCCAGCATTTGGTGAGGGGTGGGCTGGGGGAGGAGGGGAGTTGAACCAGCAGAACAAAGATCTGTCTTTCAAATTAAAAAAAAAAAAAAAAATTTAGGGCCCGGCACAATAGCCAAGTGGCTAAATCCTCACCTTGCATCCACTGGGATCCCATGTGGGTGCCAGTTTGAATCCTGACTCCTCCACTTCCCATCAAGCTGCCTGCTTGTAGCCTTGGGACCCTGAACCTACGTGGGAAACCAGGAGGTTCCTGGTTTTAGATCAGCTCAGCTTTGGCCGTTACAGCCACTTGGGGAATGAACCAGCAAATGGAAGATCTTTTTCCCTGTATCTCCTCTTTGTATATCTGCATTTCCAATAAAACTATTTTTTTAAATATTAAAATTTTAAAGTCACAATTTAAACTATTGCCCAATTAGCAAGGATGCATTAAGTGCCAACATGATAAACAGACAGCAGCACCATAAAACCGCACAAACTTTCTGCAGTTAAAATGACTGAAAGTAAGTTTAAAAGGCCAGTTCTGGGGCGCGCACTTGGCCGTGGGGCTAAGGATGCCATCGGGGGGCAGCTACAGCCTGGATCGGACGGCCTGGGTTTGAGTGGCAGCTCTGCTCCCTATACCGGCCTCCTGCTGACGTAGAAGCTGGGAGGCAGCCAGTGCCCCGTCAAGCAGCGGAAGACTGCATCTCACTCCTAGTTCCTAGCTGTGGCCTGCTCCACCACTGGCTACATCGAGCCAGTCAATGACTGCTCTCAAAATAAACACGAGACTGAAAAACCAAGTTCTTTCTAACAGGTGCCAGTGTCCCATTTGATGTCTCCTTACCTGCTGCCACTTTTCACTTTCTGCCTGTATACAGGGAGTGTCATAGATGGCTCTGTAGTGCTTACAAATAGACAGGTAGGATCCCTCATGTTGATCCAGCTGAATCATTAAGTTATAGTATTTCAATTTTAATTTCTGAAAAAAGAGGTGACAAAATCAGTTGGGGTTTATAGGTTCTATCCAAACACTTTAATGTAATCAGTGGCTGGAGATAAGCTTACCTCTGTATTTTCTTCCTGGAAAAATTTGGTATTAATTTTCTTACTGATGATTTGTGTTCGAATGTAATCCTTCACTGCGAGGCAGAGCCGCATTTGCTCCAGAATGAATTCCACTCGTTCTTTCTTCTCCATTGACCCATACGTTTCCACCTAGCAAGTTTATAATACTTAGTAATTTGCATGAACTGCAATAGAACTAATCAGATGCTAAAATATTCACCCTTTCCAGATAAGAAACATTATTTAAAAAGGGAGAACAGATCATATTTTTAAAAAGTTGGTTATTTCCAGGAAATTATCATTTAAAATTTATTCAGTAAAATGGGGTTTTTCCCCCTCTGGGGAAGCTTTAGGAAGTTTAACATAGGGACTGACTCGTGTGACTGCAGGAGAGTTCTGTACGCACAAACCCCGATCTGCTTTCCTACAGTCATGCGACTCGCGCACCTGCAGGCTCCGGGAGTGAGGCGCCTGTTCGCTACCTTCAAGAACACCACACAGAGCCAGCAGCTCCCTAAAGCCGTCTTTATTCACCCCGCAGGATTCATGTGCGCTGTCTGCCTCAGTGTTCGCTCTTTCTGACTGCTCGGCAGACTCTGAGTCACAACACCACAGCCTAGCCCCTCACCCGAGGGACACCTGGGCAGACTGTTTTCATTATTATGCATAAAGTCATCCTCACACAAGAGAACGAGTTTTGTGTGAATACTACATTTTACTTCTCTTGGGTAAAACCTTCAGTACACTGCTGGGCTTCACCAAAGTGCATGTTTAACCTCGTGAGAAACTCCCGGAGGCTCTTCCAGAACACACTCCTGGCAGCACTCCCCAGGCAGCGCCTACCTGTAGCTCCTGCAGGATGGAGGCTGCCTCCTTGACGTCACCATTCTGCTCTTTAATGGTTGCCAAAGTTTTAGTCAACCGAGCACGTTCAATTTCAACATAAATCTACAAGAGACATTTATACTGTCAAAATTCCTGTAAAAGTGTTAAAATTTAAAGGCAAACTTAAGCTATTATTCAAATAGATACTTTATCTTCCATGTATAAATAGAACTGAGACATTCTACATTTTACAAGTATAGCCATAAGTTTTAAGATAATGTTTCCAAGAGCATTATTCTTATTTCACAGTTTCGCTTGGGGAACTCAAATATAAAATTGCTGGTTTGAACAAATAGGATTACAAGCAATCAAAACGGAATAAAAATGCCAATGTCGCTGTAAAAATTATTTTAAAAATGGCACATTTTACAAAAGGCATAAGCAATTCAGTATCAACAATTCAACCAATGCTCTGACTTTAAAAACATCGGATCCAGCTAAGTATTACAACTGCTCGCAGATTTGTTAACTACGAGCAATGTTGGATTTATAATTTCTAACAAAGGCACATCTTGAGAACAGGTCTGTCCCAGAGTCTGGGCAGCCTCACTCCGGCCCTGCTGCGCAGCGGCCCTGTCCTCGCCCCATCCTCGGGAGCCCTCATCCCCAAGAACCTCACACTACGTATGCTGTGTATTTCCTATGTCACTATCTTTGCATGTAACTCCCCCAGTGCCTAAAAGCCCCTTCCCCACTCTCTCGGCTCCGAGAATTTTGCTTATTTTTCAAAGGATACTTGCATCCACAGATTTGGAGTAAGATCACAAACTGCTAGAGAAAGCTGGACACACCAAAACTGCTACTATTTACAAGCACACATATATATTTACCTAGAGAATGTAAACAACACGGGTCCCTCTGGGGACAGAGCTGTACTCATCCCTGGGAGTTACGCCAACAGAAACCTCACCTTTCCCTCTGTGACCATTCGGAGAGTATCAATCAATCGAAGTTTGATTGGAAGGTCTGTGATTTCCTCAACATAAGCACAGCACTGCTGAACCATTTTTGCAACAGCCTAAAATAGAAAAAAATCATTTGGAAATAAAACTCAATTCTCACAGAGGGAAAAAAATATATTTTATTGGTGGAACGGCTAGAATCAATTTCAATTTTCCCAAGCAACTCTGAAATGCCTGTCGAAGAACAACAAAATCTCCTCAACAGCTAAGAAATACTGAATACTCAGTAACCAATCAATGACCGCCAGAGCAACCTGAGATGAGAAAGCACAGCCAACTAGCAAATGGCTGCCGAGTCCCGGGGAAAGCAGGAGACGGGCAGAGCTGACAGTGGTTGGATGCCATGACCAGAGACACTGCACTGGGGCAGAAGCTGTCCCTCCCCGGCAGGGTGGGGCCCTCAGCCACCCCGGGTCACCTCAGCAAACAGCAGAACATCTCTGGTGCTCGCTCTGCCCGGGGGCTGACACGCGGGCTCTGGTCCACATGCACGCCCTCCGGCTCCAACATCCTACCATCGAGACCAGGGGCCAGCAAACATGTCCTATATTTTTGCAAATATTTACTAAGTAAATATTTTAGAACTGAGGCCCTGATCACAGTCTGAGCCAACTACTCAGCTGTGCCCGTGTAACTCTAGAGCTGGCAAACGGCGTTTGGTTTAAGCAGCAGAGCAAAATCACTGATAACATCGATGTCTCCGAGTCATTCAAGAAAACATTAAGTTACGTTAAGTACACACATTTTAGGATAGAAAAGTAGACAACATAGCCTGGATAGATTTCCACGACAACACCAATGTTCCAAGTAGTCCAGACTAAATCTTAAACTATAGGCAAAACAGACTTCAGAAAGCTGAGATCTTATTGCAAAATACAAATTTTCTCTCATAACCGTAAGTCCCAGGACATCCAGTATCTCACAAAGTGCATTCACGCTACAATGATGATGACCTCCAGGGATTAAGCCAGGGTGCAGCACACTAGTCCTCAGTCTGCGGCACTGGTATTCCACAGGGATGCTGGTTCAAGTCCTGGCTGCCCCACTTCCAATGGGAGCTGAGAAAGCAGCAGAGCACGGCTCTAGTCCTTGGACCCTGCACCCACGTGGGCGACCCAGAAGCTGCTGGCTTCTGACCACTCATCTGGGGGGTGATTCAGCAGAAAGAAGATCCCTCTTTCTCTCCTTCTCTCTTTAACTTTCAAGTAAAATAAACGGATCTTAAAAAAAAAAAAAATTACAGGCCGCAGCGTTGACAGCCTAGTGGCTAAAGTATTCGACTTCACGTGCTGGGATCTCATACGGGCGCCAGGCCTGTGTCCCGCTGCTCCAATTCCCACCCAGCTTCCTGCTTGTGGCCTGGGTAAGCAGTTGAAGAGTTTGGGACCCTGTACCCATGTGGGAGACCCGGAAGATGCTCTTGGCTCCTGGATCAGCTCAGCCAGGCCACCTGGGCAGTAAACCAGTGTATGCTTTCCCAGGCCATAAGCAGGGAGCTGGATGGGAAGTAAAGCAGCTGGGATATGAACAAGTGCCCATAATGGATCCTGGCGTATGCAAGGCAAAGACCTTAGCCACTAGGCCCCTGCACTGGGCCCATAACTTAACAATTATTCAAGCCATGTAAAATATATAACAACAACAACAGAATCTACATCAAATTCAAGTAAGTGAACACCCTGTGGTTCTCCAAGGAAGTTATCAGGGGCAGCTGCCATGAGACCCTGGGTTCAAATTATGATGAATTATAACCCATCCTTTTAAAACAAGCTAAAACAATTGTTTTATTTAAGAAAAATGTTACTTTCTCAGTCTGTGTAATCTAATATGTCCCACTGTGCTATATTTGGGCATTTAATAGACTTAATTGAGCAGCAAATCCACGACTTAAGATAACTGTAAAATAAACATTCTGTTGCTGAAATATTCACAGGATTAAAAATTTGGGACAAATTAAGCAAAAGAAAATGAAAAAAATAAAAAAGCAAGAAGAGTGGCAGGAATCGTGGTGCAGGGACGAAGCCCCTGCTGAGGAGGCACAGGGCCCTGGACTCCAGTTGTTCTGCTTTTAGTCCAGCTTCCTGCTGCCGCGGACCCTGGGAGGCAGCAGATGGCCCACAGGCCCAGACTCTGGCCCGCCACCCACCTGGAAGTGCGGAGCTGCGTCTACCTGGCCCATGCTGACTGCTGCAGGCATCGGGAAGCCACCCAGGAGACACAAGCTAACTCCCAGCGCTCTCCTTTGCTCTGCCTTTCAAATAGAAGGAGTATCCCCTTCTTAAAAATACATCAGAGGAGAAGAACAAGACCATTCAAGTTTCTTCAGCACTCTCCACAGCTACGAAGACACAGTCAGTTAAAGGCAGCAGAGCAGTGCTGATCCCCGTTCGAGTCTGCTGAGAAACCCACTCAAACTCCTCTCTCACCAAGACGTCCCTAACAATCCCCACCGCCTGTCCTTTACTCACACCTTCCATTATTTTCTTACTTATTTACAATGCATTAAGTACACATGGATTTCAATCATTTTTAGCACTAAATCCTGTGTGCATTGGTTAATTTCTTGAATGCCTCCAACAGCCAAGCCCAGGCTAGCCAAACTCCATCTGTCCCAATGTGGGTGACACAGACCCAAGCACCTTGGCCATGAACCACAGCCTCCAGGATGCCAGAAGCAGGCACTCCAAAAGGTGATGCAGGTGTCCCCACTGCACTTTAACTGCTGTGCTAAACAACTGCCCCAACACAACGCATTTTAATGCTATGCTCAACCCTGCTTCAGGCTCACGAACAGACCAGGCTCCTTCCTGGACAGAAACCCTCTCTTGACTATTTCAGTTCTGCTACTATCCTCTTTTACAATATCGTTAATTAAGCAAAAAAAAGGAATCCAGAAACTACTCTGGGAACAGCATTATTTAAAAGGTTCTGCTGCTGATTTTTATAATTAAATTTAGCAGAAAGGGAGACAGAGCCCTTTGCCCTGTCACCCCACTATCGCCTGGCTCAGTCCCCAGATGCCCACATCAGCCAGGACTGGGAGGGCACAGCATCTTAGAGGAGATAAAAATGACCGTCTAGACAGATCTCAGGCAGAGGAATAACGAAACAGTGAAGAAAATCCAATTTCACAAAAACACCTAAGACATTTACCAAAGTTTTAAACAAATGAGTAACTTATCTATTAAGTACTTCAGATGATCAACTCAACAGATTACAACAAAACAACCACTTAAAGTAATAAAAATAAAGAGCAGGGCAACACCAACCAAGTCCTGTCATCCTGGGCACTCACTTGTTTTAACTGACTCCGCCTTTTGGACAAAAGCATAATGTTTTCATTAAGCAAATCCCATTCTTTAGCTTCATAGCACATCTTCACCACCGCAACTAAGATACGGGACGTAGACACCATGTCAGAAGCCTGGAAGAAAACACACTGAGTTAACAGAACGTTAAATAAAATCAACAGTAATGAGGTTTTTCATCATAATCTACTCACCGTACGAGTCTGTTTTTCCAAGGAGAGAAGAGTTTCAATGACTTCTTGGAGTCTTCCTTCCTAAAAAAGATAACAGTGAATAATGAAAACACACCTGGCAGCACAAACCAAAAAACTAATCTGAAAACAAACACCAAACAACTACTCCCCAGGCGGCCATGGAGCTGGACCAGCTGGAGGCGGGAGCCGGGAGCCTCCTCCGGGTCTCCCACCTGGGTGCAGGGGCCCCAATACTCGAGTCTCCACTGCTTTCCCAGGCATATCAGCAGGACGCTAGATTCCAAGTGGAGCAGCCACGACTTAAACCAGATGGTACTGCAGGTGGTGGCTTTACCTGCTGTAACTCAGTGCCCACCCGAACAGGCCTGGCAGAAACTGAACATACAAAAACTTGAGAAAAACACTGTCTTTGTTTTGCATTCTAATTTATTAACTCATTAAGGTAACACGTGTTTATCTTCACAGATGCTTTCTTTTTAAATTTGTACAACACATATTTTAGAACATGCTGTCAGGCACCAGTGTTCCAGCACAGTGGGAAGGCAGTATCTAGTATCAACGTGTCAGTTCAAGCCCAGTTGCTCCACTGTGGGTCCAGCTCCCCACTAACGAGCCTGGGAAGGCAAGGGATGGTGGCTTAAGTATCTGGGCCCTGCCATCCCTGTGGGAAACACAGATGGAGGTCCTGGCTCTTGGATTCTGCCCAGTCCCAGCCTGGCCGCTGTGGCCATTTGTGGAATGAACCAGTGGGTAGATCTCTTTCTTTCTGTTGCTCTGGTCATCAAATTCTAGCTAACTTTTTATTGACATTCAAAAATACTTAATAACCATGCACAGATGAACTGAAGAGCATCTGAAATATACGGCCACTGGAGACCACCTCTTACATAGCCACCGAGCCAAATACACCTGAATGGCTAACCTATGTCACGTCTTCCCATCCCTAGCTCAAAGGTAAAAGAAAACGCTTGCTCAAGTATTAAGATAGGGAAATCATAAAACTCAAACAATAAAATATAAAATTCAAATATTATGAGAACTAATCCTCTAATAAAAAAAAGATTTATTTATTTTTATTACAAAGTCAGATACATAGAAAGGAGGAGAGAAAGAGAGAAAGATCTTCCATCCAATGATTCACTCCCCAAGTGAGCGCAACAGTCGGTGCTATGCTGATCTGAAGCCAGGAACAAGGAACTTCTTCCAGGTCTCCCACGCAGGTACAGGGTCCCAAATCCTTGGGCCTTGCTCAACTGCTTTCCCAGGCTACAAGCAGGGAGCTGGATGGGAAGTGGAGCAGCCGGGATTAGAACCGGCGCCCATATGGGATCCCGGGGCATTGAAGGCGAGGACTTTAGCAGCTATGCCACACCGCCGGGCCCTAAAACTAATCCTAAGAGGCATATATTTTAATTAAAAAAAAAAAAAACTACAGCAGAAAAACTGCATTTACAAAAATGATTTATTTTTATCGGGAAGTCAGATAAACAGAGAGGAGAGAAAGATCTTTCATACACTGGTTCACTCCCCAAGCGGCCACAATGGCCAGAACCGAGCCAATCTGAAGCCAGAAGCCAAGAGCTTCTGCCACTCTCCCACACGGGTGCAGCATCCCAAGGCCTTGGGACAGCCTCTACTGCTTTCCCAGGCCACAAGCAGGGAGCTGGATGAGGTGGAGGAACCGGGATACAAACCTGCGCCCATATGGGATCCCAGCACATGCAAGGAAGACTTTTAGAAATTAGCCTATTGTACCGGGCCCGAAAAACTACACATTATGTAAAGAAAGATTTATTCTATTATTTTAAAGGCAGCCTTGAGAGACCGAGAGACATATTCCATCTGCTTGGTTCACTCCCCAAATGGCCACAATGGCCAAGACTGGGCCAAGCCAAATCCAGAAGCTTCTGCTGGATCTCCTACAAGGCTGCAGGAGGCTCAGGCACTTGGGCCACCCTCCACTGCTTTTCCCAGGCCATTAGCAGGGAGTTAAGACTGTAAGAGGAGGGCCCGGCGTGGTGGCGCAGTGGTTAAGGTCCTCGCCTTGCACACCTGGGATCCCATATGGGCACCAGTTCTAATCCCGGCGACCCCGCTTCCTTTCCAGCTCCCTGCCTGTGGCCTTGGAAAGCAGTCGAGGATGGCCCAAAGTTTTGGGACCCTGCACCCGCGTGGGAGACCTGGAAGAGGCTCGTGGCTTCGGATCGGCATAGTATCAGCCGTTGCGCTCACTTGGGGAGTGAATCATTGGACGGAAGATCTTCCTGTCTCTCCTCTCTGTATATCCGCCTTTCCAATAAAAACATAATAAAAATAAATCAATAAATAAAAAGACTGTAAGAGGAACAAACAGCACTCAAACCAACTCCCATTATGTGTCACAGGCAGTGGCTTCATTTACTGTGCCACCACACTGGAGACACTAATGTCTGTCAGTGTTTTCTCATTTGTATATATCTGAAAGGTAAAATGAAGAGAAAGATCTTCCATCTGCAGGTTGCTAACGCCTGCAGCAGCTGGAGTGAGGGCCAGGGCAGGCAGGGCAGAGCCAGGAGCCAGGAACTTCCCCTGGAACTCCATGTGGGTGACAGGGCCTCAAGGGCCCGAGGTGCTTGTAAGGGGCGCTCACCCCCAGGGGCACGGACTACTGCTTTTAAAAAGGCCAGCAGTGATTCTGAAAGCTTTACAGACACACATTCGATAAATGATCATCAAAGGAAAAGTACAGTAAGCAAATCTATAAATTCCCCAAGCCTAAGGCATAAGTCATAAAGATCAAAAGTTTGTTCAGTTGAAAGCAAAGGAAGAGAGAGAGCCCAGAAGAGCAAGTGAGAGGAAGAGATCTTCCATCCACTGGTTCACATACTAACTGGTCAGTGTGTCCAGCTCCACGCCAGGGGCCTAGCACTCCATCTGAGCCTCCCATGCTGGCGGCAGGCGCTCAGGCACCGAGTCACCATCTGCTTCCACACTGGGTGCACACGAGCAGGTGGCTGGATCAGAGGCAGCGAGGGGAGTCAATCCCAGGCCCTGGCATCCCAGATGCGGACAGCCCAAGTGATGACCACACCTCAATGGCATCCCCAACCTCCTCAATAACAGACAGAACATGGACGGAGGCCCAGACGGCTTAAATGGCTCACTCAGTCACATTGAGTGGACCTGGACGCCTGGGATCCTGCCTCTAGTTCAAACTCCTCCCACTGCAATGCAGTGCCCCATTTGTGACTCCAGCTTGAACCAGACCTTCTGCCAACAAAATACGGTGTAAAGAAAGCAAAACCACAGTCTACTGAGATACTGAACTTACTGTCAGGTTTCTGAGCACTGATGACACAGGTGGAAAAATCCAGATCGTACCTGACAGGTCACAACAGTCTAGACACAGTGCACCAAGGCTACCGTGTAGTATGTGTGAAAATGTGTATAAAACGGGTCCCATTCTCCAGATGTCTCATGAAAGTATGCAAATATCCCAACATCTGAAATCTAAAAATACTTTTTGGGCCCAGTGTGGTGGCCTAGCGGCTAAAGTCCTCGCCGTGAATGCACTGGAATCCCATATGGGCGCCGGTCCTAATCCCGGCAGCTCCACTTCCCATCCAGCTCCCTGCTTGTGGCCTGGGAAAGCAGTTGCGCAAGGCCCAAGGCCTTGGGAACCTGCACTAGCATGAGAGACCTGGAAGAGGCTCCTTGTTCCTGGCTTTGGCTGGCTCAGCTCTGGCTGATGTGTCTGCTTGGCGAGTGAATCACAGGATAGAAGATCTTCCTCTCTGTCTCTCCTCTCTGTATATCTGCCTTTCCAATTAAAAAAAAAAATCTTAAAAAAAAACAATTGTAATGACCACTGCACAGGGATGGGGTGAGGACCCAATGGGCCCATCATGGCCAGCTCTGGCCACTGCAGAAAGCCCCTCAGCAAGGTCAGCCACGGTCACCTTCCTCCCACGATGGGCTGCTGACCAGAATCGACAGCCCTCCCACACTCCCGGGCAGGTAAGCCGGCAAGATCTGACACAGGTGCGTCGGCCTCCCCCTTCTCCGTGTCGTTTTTGTAAAAAGCTTTTTTTTTCCTTTTTAAAAAGAAAAAAGATCAGAATGCTTTCTTTCCCAAAGCCAAATGTGATCGCGGCGAGAGGCCACGAGCGTGGGCCGTGAGTGGCCACTCCCTGGCAGCCGGGCCGTGGGGCCCTGGTGCACCGGGGCGTCCACTCGCCTTCCCCGGGAATGGCTGCAAGGCCAGCCCGGAAAAGCCACGAACTGCGACAGTATGTAAGGAAAAGGTCCCGTCCAGCCCCCGCGGACAGCGTGGACACACAGCCGGGGACGCGCGCTCCGGCCCCCGGGCCCCCCGAGGCCTAGGCGGGCCCCGCCGTGACTCAGCCCCGGGCGGCTGCCGCACCTTGGCCAGCTGCTCGCACTCCGGCAGGCGCTGGTCCACCGTGGCGCTGTAGTCCACCTCCATCTTCACGATGCGACCGTCAGCGCGCTCCGACCCGCCGTCTGCCATGGTGCCCGTCTCCGCGTCCCTGCCCGTTCCCCGGTTTCGGCTTCGGCTTCAGCCGCCACTCGGTACCCGCACCGGAAGCCGACCCAGGATCCACTCAGGCGGCGCGTCGGGAGCCCGCGCGAAGGACCGCTCGAGGCCCCCTGGCGCCAAGCCATCAGTCAGGCAGTGGCGCGGACAGCCCTGGAGGGCGGGGTCTGGGAGGACGGGGTGGGGCATGGAAGGGAGGGGCGGAGCCTGTGGGTGAGGCGGGGCCTGGGGCGGGGCGGGGCGGGGCTAGCGCCTCTATTATTATAGGACGGGAGGAATTAGTGCATTTTGGATCTCGGCTTTCCCATTTGTACCTGAAGAGGCTGGAGGGGGGAAAAAAAGAGTAAAGACAAAAAACTCTGTGGTTATATTTGGCTGAGAATCTTGGGGTCTTTGTGGGATTTCTAGAGAGAGATTCTTTATTATCCCCATAGGATCAATACGAGACTCGAACCAGATGGCCCACGCGAAGCAGTTGAGGACAGTACAGGTTCTAGTGATTGTCACCCTCACCCGGTGACAATCCTAAAAATGTTTTAGGCTCCTTGAAAAATGGGAATGGGACGGGGAAGGGGGTAGGGAGACCAGGGAGATGGTCCTATGGTCAATAGGCGTTTGGGAAGCCAATGGGAAAATCTTGGAGCGATTTCTGGGGTATGTGTGTGGCTGTCAACTAAATTTCCTAAAAGGAAATTTAAATTTAAATTTTTAAAATGTAGTGGGGTGTTTTTTTTGTTTTTTTGTTTTTTTGTTTTTTTACTGTTCCTCAAAGACATGGATAGTACCCATAATATTACACCCACACACAAAATGAAACAACAGCAAAATAACATATATTTCTAAAGGCAAAGGCTAAAACGAGCTTGTGGTGGAAAACACCGCGGCGGTGTGCCAACAGGTTGGGGAGTGGCGCCTGCGCAGGTGCAGGCCACAGACGGTTTCCAACGTGCTAAGAAACTTCTTGGTGAACTTCTGACCACATCAAGAAATAATCTTCCTTTGCCTTTCACGCAAAAGGATCCTTCAGAATTTTAGTTCACATTAAAACTTTAAAATACCACGTGTTAAAACGAGTTCAGGTGTTGGCCTTACACATCAGTATCTACTGCATATTTGGAAGTCTGATGGTCAGGGTGGGTCCCCAGCGGATGAAGCCGCCCTGGGGACAGGTGTATCCTGTGGCAGAACGGGGGTTGTGTGGGCTCATGTGCCCTTCCACTTTAAATCCAGCTTCAGGCACGGGCACCTTGGCAAGCAGCATGTGATGGCTCAAGAGAGTAGGTCCCTGCCACCGGTGCAGGAGGCCTGGGCTGGGGGTTCAGCTCCCCATCCTGGCTGCCACAGGCATTTAGAGAGTGAATCGGCGGATGAAAAAAAAAAATAAATGAGAGTGGGAAGGAGATGTTAAAAATAAGCAAATTTGAAATGGAGGAAAAGTCAGTTGGTCCTCGAAGCAGACTGCTGAGAACACGAATTAAGCAGATCAAGGAACTTAGAAGAAGCATGAGTCGTCAGAGAAAATGGGTGTGAGTATGTGGTGTGAATTCTTTGAGTTCAGCTTGTGGCTTTGTGAGAAAGCGGTTTCAGAAAGGGGGGAACTGTAACTGAAAGGTGAGTGAGAAACGGTGATTGGAAAAGGGAGTGTATTCAAGAAGGATGGTGCAATTGTGCACTGTGAGGCTAATGACCAAAACATCATGTACCTGGGCGTTAATCACTATTTGGTGCACTTTTTTAATAGTCAGCATTTCTGGTACCTTCAGGTTATTAGCCATGCGTGTATGTAATGATTCTGATGAGGGGAAGACCCCGTCGATTCTGGCCGAGGGAAGGGATGAAGGGCGCTTGGAGGTGATGGAAGAAGGCATCCCTAAGGAGCCTGGGCTTCAGGGAGCCAGGGACCATGTCTTGCCTGCATCTGGGGGTGAAGATTCCAGAGGCTGCAGCAGGTGCCAGATCCCTCCAGGCTGAGCACTCCAATGATGTCTGGCCCTTTGGAAGATGTCCAAAGAGGTCACGATGGCCAGACAGGAAGGAGACAAAAGGTTGGAAGTATGCAAGATGAGGTTCTGGGTCAAGTGGCTGTTGTAACTTTTTTTTTTTGTCAATAAAAATCTATTTATTCTTTTTTTTTTAAAGATTTATTTATTCATTGCAAAGTCAGATATACAGAGAGGAGGAGAGACAGAGAGGAAGATCTTCCGTCCGATGATTCACTCCCCAAGTGAGCGCAACGGCCGATGCTATGCCGATCTGAAGCCAGGATCCAGGAACTTCTTCCAGGTATCCCACACAGGTGCAGGGTCCCAAGGTTGGGCTGTCCTCAACAGCTTTCCCAGGCCACAAGCAGGGAGCTGGATGGGAAGTGGAGCTGCTGGGATCACAACCGGCACCCATATGGGATCCTGGTGTGTTCAAGGTGATGACTAACCGCTAGGCCACACCGCTGGGCCCCAAAATCTATTTATTCTTATTGGAAATGCAGATCAGATTTACAGAGAGAAGGAAAGACAGAGACAGAAAGATCTTCCATCTGCTGGTTCACTTCCTAAGTGGTCACAACAGCTGCTCTGAAGCCAGGAGCCAGGAGTGTCTTCCAGGTCTCTCACGCGGGTGCAGGGTGCCAAGGCTTTGGGCCATCCTCTACTGCTTTCCCAGGTCACAAACAGGGAGCTGGGTGGGAAGTGGAGCAATCAGGATTAGAACTGGTGTCCATATGGGATCCTGGGACATGCAAGACGAGGATTTAGCCACTGAGTCATTGCACTGGGCCCAAATGAAAATAAATTTGAAAGAAAGGAAGAAGACTTCAGCCATGGTACTCTGATATGGGATGCAGTCATTCCAAGCATTGCCTTAATCACGTGCTAAATGCTGCGCCAAATGGGCAGGTAATCTCATCATGTACATTGAGGAGCATTTTTTTAGTTGCTTTTTAAATTTTTTTTTCATTTTTGATGATATTTATATAGTTGATCAGGGTGGGAAGGATCAAGGGTCAGGAGAAAGTGGGTAAGACCATTGTTTCCAAATTTTTTCTTCTTCCTGTATATGTGGGGGAAGGAGGAAGATAAAGAGAGAAGTCACACCCAGCCTTCCAACACCCCATTATCCATGGATGGGGAACAGCCACCCAATGTCAACCCAGGGTCCCCAATGTGGAGCATGTTCTGAGTGCTTAAGTGGTTTCAATAGTTCTGAAATGCTGTCAATCTTGTCAATCCAAGGATGAAGAAATCCTTCTAAGTTCCATTGGCTGACACAGTCAATCTTAGAGTCTCCATTCACCCGGACAGTTGCTGTCTTTGTTTGGTTAGAGTGGTTGTCCAATGTGGTATGCCTGCCTTCCTTTGCTATGGTACAGACATCCTCTGCAGGCCCCAAAGGGCTGCCCTACCCTCCGTGCACATCTGGGCCTGCCATCCACTATTCTGTCTTTTCACCTGAGGAGACCCAGTTTTGACACATGCACTCTATGGTGAGACCATCACTTCTGGACATGGACCGTCATGTTCCCACATGCCCCCACCTGCGCCATCCCTCAGACCCCTGTGACTTTACACACCAAGCCCCTACAAGCATGCTGCCAGGCAGCCAGTGGGCTTTGTTTGGTGCCATTGGCACCCAGGCCACCCAACCTGGGCACCGTCGGACTACTTACCCCAGGGCTCGTGGACCTGGCACCCCCTCCAACACACATATCTTTGGGGGAAAAAAAAATAGAATAAGCTAGGAACTGTTCTGACACAATGGCATGGTTAACAGATTTGGCATTAACCAAGCCCAGGATTCCTCCCAATAATTAGCTGCTTTTCTCCCAGCAGTGTAACACTTACCTAGGTACAATGCAATCTAGGCTGTTGCCCACAGCTGGAGAGAGGAGCATTTGTATACCAGGTGAATAAAGCCAATGGAAAGGGCCTAGTACAATGGCTCAACTGTCTAATTCTCCCCTTGCAAGCACTGGGATTCCAGATGGGCACCAGTTTGTTTCCAGTTGCTGCACTTCCACTCCAGCTCTCTTCCTGTGGCCTGGGAAAGCAGCAGAGCATGGCCCAAAGCTCTGGGACCCTGTACCCATGTCAGAGACCTAGAAGAAGCTCCTGGATCCCAGCTTCAGATCAGTCAGCTCCAGCCATTGCAGGCATTTGGGAAGTGAGCCAGCAGATCTTTCTGGAAGATCTTTCTGTCTCCTTTTCTCAGTAAATCTGCCTTTCTAATAAACAAAATAAATCTTTTTTTTTTAAGCCAATAAAAAAGGAGCTGGTGCTGTGGCACAGTGGATTAAGCCATGGATTTGGACACCAGCATCCCATGTCTGAGACTTCGCTGCTCCGCTTCCAATCCAGCTTTCCTGCCAATAAGCAAGGGAAGGTAATGGTTAATGGCCCCCAGCACGCGTGTGGAAGATCCTGTTGGAGTTCCTGGCTCCTGGCTTCCACCGGCTGTTGTGGGCACTCGGGGAGTGAACCAGCACGTGGGAGACATCTCTCTGTCTCTCTCCGCCAAGCCTCAGCAATGCTTTTCAAATAAATACATAAATCTTTGCTTCTGTCATACACTATCACAAACTCAGTAGCTTGAGCCAGCAGCCACTCTTTCTCTCCCGGTCTGGAGTCTGAGCATCATTGAGCAAACTCAGGGTGTGGTGGGGCCGGGCTCTCTGCAGAGGCTCCAGCAGCCAGCTATTCCTGGCCTCTTGCTCTCGCCCCCTTTCTGGGAGTGGACAACATTTCTTGCCTCCCTCAGTCCGTGCCTTCGTGGTCACACTGCCTTCTATTCTGCATGTCAGATCTTCCCCAGGCTCTCTCTAATCCAGAACCTATGACTGCATTTAGAGAAGCCAGGCTGATTGCCTCACCTCCAAACTCTGAGTCACTCCAGATTTATTTATACTTTATTATTATTATTATTTTATCAAAAACACAGGTATATAGAGAAAAAGATCTTCTGCATACTAGCTCACTCCCCAAGTGGTCATAATGGCCGGAGCTGAGCCTTCCCAAAGCCAGGAGCCAGGAGCTTCTTCCGGCTCTCCCATGTGGGTGCAGG